GAAACTCCTGAATGTGTTCGCCCGCCACCGCCCTATGATGGCGCCTGGCACAAAGGGAAGGAGGCTAGCCCAACATCCGTAGCCCCCACCCAGCCCATACCTATTGGCACCACCTCTCTGGCCCCTGCCCATTTATACCCCACCCTTGGGACGGACAGATCCTATTATTATCCAGCCCCCATTGCTCCTCCCCTCCATGCCCTGGTCATGCCTACCCCCCCGTCTCCACTTCTCCTCCTCCTCCTGTCCATCCCTGACACTCCACCCTCCTTTCCGGCTCCTGTTGCTTCCGTCCCCGCCCCACTCCCTCCCCATATCCCTGTCACTTTCGCCCTTAACTCTCCTTTTGATTCTCTCCAACCATTCACGGTCACCATTCCCTGCATCCGACCCACCCACCCCTTCCATGGTCGTCACCTCCCCTCCCAGCATCCCTTTAGTTACTTCCTCCCTCACCCTATATCCTCTTCCATCCCCGCCCCCATCATGGCTGCCCCCAGTGTGTCTTTCCCTATTATGACCGTTGGTTCTGGTGACGCTTCAGCTGCATCAAATCATCTTCTTGCTTCTCAGCAATTAACATCTTAGCACACATCACCGCTGGCAACCCAAGCCCAACAGGCCCTTCCTGTGCAAGATCTCATTACTACATCTGCACAATCTTCACATTCTTCAAGCTCCTCTGACACTGTCAGTTTCCATGTACCTCATGCCCCCTCAGAGGATGCCAGCGTACATGGGGAAAGCCCACCACGACCCCCTTATAATTCTCCCAGAATCCCTCCAGCCAGACCCTATGATGACCAATTTGCCCCCAATAATGTATGTCATGTTTAACCCATCCCAGGTCGCAACCCTAGTAGCATCTCTTCCAGACCCAGAGAAGCAACCCATGCTTTTTTTTTTTTTCGCTCAGATCGCTCAGATCTGTAAAACGTACTCAGCCACATAGCCTTGGCATGACCTGTATAGTGTCTGTGAAATTAAAGCAGGAGATGCTTTGTAAAAGAGTTTTGATGATGCCCGTCTCACTAGTAAGACAGATTTCCAATCAAGCCTAGTTTTCCGTGAACAGCTCCGTGCGTGGGCACAAGATAAATTAGCTGACCAGGCAACTTGCATTAATGACATTATACAAGAAAAGACAGTGTGTAGAAAAGTATCATTCCAGACTGACACAGACCTTCTTTGACTTCGGTTTCAACACAACAAAGCACACACACAGATGCTGTCAGCCGCTTTTCTTGCAGGTATCAAAGAACCCATAAAGAAAGGCCTGGTCCTATAACATCCAGAGTATAGGATCATTCCATTAGCTACTCTGCTCCTGGTTGCTAAGAGCCTAGAGTCTGCCCAGCTACCCCAGACCAGGAAGTCTGCTCCCCTCATTTTTTCCTTTCATAATCCTGCAATCAGACCTGCTCCTGCCCCTGCTGGGTACACTATTCCCACGCCTCCAGGCCATATAATGGCCAAGGCCCCAAGACCACAGATTAGAGCCCGTTTTAACTGCAACCAACCAGGTCATTTCAAGAAAAATTGTACAGCTCCCCAAGCACCTAGGCAGCGAACACACACTGTAAGACCATCCTATCCCATGGCTGGTTATCCTCAACCTCAGAACCAAGGCTATCCTGTGGCTGGACACCCTCCTGCCCAGACCCCAGGTTATCCAGCAGCTGGCTATCCTCCACCCCCAGCACCTGGTATTCCTTATGCTGCTAACTATGCTAATTATTCCCCTGATGACCTAGCCTCTGATGATTATCCACCCGTTCACCATCCTGCACCGAGACACCAGCGTCCTGCACAGCGTGCTCAGCAATCTCACTACTCAGCTGCACCTACACGTCCATACACTGGGCCAGACCAGTCTCAATCTTGATCTTGTACACTAGGTAACTGGCAAACCTGTGTCACAAACCCCTGTCATGGCAGTGTCTACAGGGGATAAAGAGGGGACCCTAGCTACAGTGGTCCTACCCATGGAAGGCCACCCAACTACCTTCTTAGTTGACACAGGTGCAGCCAGTAGCCTTCTTAGAGAACAAGACCTCTCTGACTCTTCTTTCTTGTTTAACATTGATGTTTCATGGTACTCCTCGAAATAACTCATTAACCAAGCTCTTACGGGTGGGTACTTTCCCTGATTGTGGTTTCTTCCACCTGTCGTATTAACCTGTTGGGAGCAGATGTCCTTTCCCACCTGCAGGCATCTATCTCCTTTACCCCTGATGGTCAGGTTCATCTACTAACCCCCCTCTCTACTAAGGTTACCTCAAAACTCTGTTCTTTGCCTCTCCTGCTCCACATGGAGTCCCCCCGTGAGGATGCAAGGGTCCTAGATCCCCCCAGTGCCCTGTACAGGGTCCGAGCTAAACTATGGTCCACTGGCCCAGATGATATTGGACATCTTTGAGTTCCTCCAGTGGTTGTAAAGTTGTTTGATGGTGCTAACCCACCCCAAAGGCCACAGTACCCCCTGTAGCCTGCTCAGGCCCTCGCCATCTCCAAACAGGTTGAAAGCCTATTAGCAAAAGGTGCTCTTATTAAATGTGAATCTCCATGTAACACTCCTTTGTTTCCAGTAAAGAAAAAAACTGAAAAGGGTGAGCCTGACCAGTATCGGATGGTTCAAGATCTCTGCGCTGTCCATGATGTCACTGTTCTGGATACCCCCAGCATACCCAATCCCCACGCTCTTCTATCACAGGTACCTCCTACAACAAAGTTCTTCACTGTGATAGACCTGGCAAATGCCTTCTTCAGTGTACCTTTGGATCCCTCATGTCAGTACCTTTTTGCATTCACCCATGACCACCAGCAGTATACCTAGACTGTCATGCCTCAAGGAGCACAGAATTCACCAAGTCAGTTTGCAAAGGCCATGTCAATCATTCTAGAACCATGGCAGAAGTCTCACACCGATGTGGTTCTTCTTCAATATGTAGATGACCTTCTTCTCTGTGCAGATGACCTCCCAACTGCTGAGCGCACTTCAGAAGTTCTACTCTGCTTTCAGGCTGAACAAGGCTGCAAGGCCTCCAAAAAGAAGCTACAATGGTGCCTTCCCTCTGTGGTCTTCTTGGGACATTGTCTTTCCCATGGCACCCGTCATCTCACCCGGGACAGAGTACAAGGAATCACATTCATCTGTCCTCCAACAGCTCACAATCCCCTTCATGACTTTCTGGGCCTCATCTCTTACTGCAGAGCCTGGATACCTGAAGCCACCATCATCATGCAGCATCTCCATAATGCCCTCAAGACTGAACATTTCTCTCTCTTTCTCCTGAGGCTCTCACCAGCTTCTATGCTTTGCAACATGCCATTGCCTCTGCCCCTGCATTGGGCCTGCCTAATTACTAGAAGCCTTTCAAGTTCTTTGTCTCAGAAAGAATGGGACATGCATCTGGTGTTCTCACACAGTCTCATGGCTCCGGCCAACGTCCTATTGGCTACTTCTCATGCCAGCTGGACACAGTGGCCAGAGGAGGACCCTCCTGTCTCCGAGCAGTCTTTGCAGCCAGTGCTCTCCTGGACAAGACAAATGACCTAATTCTTGGTCACAAGCTTACCATTCTTGCACCTCATGATATCACAGCTATTCTCAATCAAGTCCAGCCAAAGCACCTCCCTTCTCAAAGACATCTCTGCCTGCAGACAGCTCTACTTCTGCCTGATAACGTCACTCTGCAAAGGTGTTACGCTCTCAACCCGGCCACTCTTCTGCCACTTCGCAGGGGGTAATTCCACACTATTGGTACAGCCTTGATATAGATCCGGACATCCTTTTTGAACTACAGATACGGAAACCCACCGTTCCACATGATGAACAGCCACAGCCTTTCCTGCATTGTACCCTGTGATTCAGAAATACCCCAGGACCAGATCCATACCAAGAAGAAGAGCTGTTCAAGCTGGTAGAACTACGCCGCCTCGTCATGACAGGCCCATTTTGTGATTCTAAGGGCAATTGTGTGGCCCTGATACCTCTACCTCTGGAAATAGGTACCATCACTGGGAGGTGGCTGTTCCTCATGTTTCCTTCACCAAATCTCCAGAAATCTCATGGAAGGAACTTGGCCCATTGGCTAAAACATGGATCACTGCAGACCAAGACCAGCAGAAGGTGTCACCAAGCGAACTGTGAACTGCAAGACAACTGGTTACCCTCAATACAACACAGAAATATGTGAAGATGCCCCTCCTACGGATCAAGATCCAGATGCTCCTTATGACTGCTTTGAACAGATGAAGATGGAGACAACACATCTCCACAGTACATAAAAACTGCTTTGCCAGACCCTGACTTCACCCTGTTTGTGGATGGCTCCAGATATGCGGATGAACAGGGAAGGTACCACACTGGATTTGCGGTTACTACAGTGGATCAGGTACTTCAAGCATCCTCACTTCCTGTGGCGAAACCAACCTCGCCACTGTGAACTGGAGAAGCCTGGTTGCTCGCCTGCTCCCTTTGGACTATGGCCCTGCAGGTTAAACCGTTTATTTCCCCTGCAGAAAGGCTTATTTGTGTGATCTGAGTGCCATTCATCTAATAATGTGCACTCAGATCCCAGCTATCTGGGGATATGTGAAATGTCTGTGTGTTATGTGTAAATGTGACTTTATGTATTTTAAAGTGTTTTGTGTCTTTTTGCAACCATGTGCTTAATGGAGTCTTGTGTCTATCCTGGGAGATAATTGAATTACTCTCCAGGATAGAAGACTCTGAAACTGGTTTGGGCCAGAAAGCCATGCTTCATTTAGTCACAAAGGACTTTCCCTTAACTTTTGAACCCCTGGTCTGATTCGTGCCATTTTTTAATATGTTGTTCCCCTGAATGGATTGATTATGAAAATGTATGTTTTATGTTTGTGACATGTATATTTTAGAAGTTAGAAATATTGTGTAAAAACTGTATTCCTCTGCCGGTGATAATGAGATTACCCATTGTGTTCAGTAATCATATCACCTGCAGAGGGGAGGATTTTGTGTGGGAGTGTCTGGGTGTATTGTACGGATTGATTGGTTGTTTTGCAACGCCCTGTGGGCTGTACTATGTTTGTGGATTGGGAATAAAAGAGACTGTATGTGACAGTACAGAGAGTTCCTGTTTTAACCCTCAAAGTGAAGTGTCGTCTCATTATTGGGGAAGGATTTATTGTATGCTGTTCCAGTTTGACTGCTAGGAGTGTAAACCTATTCGTATGGTTCCTATTCAACTGTATACAACATTCATATGCTTGAGAGCATTCATATGCTCCTACGGTTCGGTGGTTTTGGTGTCTGCTGCAGTGCTTGGAGTCCTCAGGAAGCGCTAGGAGCATCCTTCAACGGAGGTACCCAGTCGGGGTGCCAGGTGATCCGTTACACTTCCCTCATCCATGTCTCATGCAAAATGTCTCAAGGAAAGCGAGCCAATATCTACACCAATTCAAGATATGCCCTGGGCGTAGCACATGACTTCGGACTGATCTAGAAGACAAAAGGTTTTCTTGCAGCAACTGGTACACCAGTCAAGCACAGCTCAGCAATCAGAGAGCTGATGGATGCCTTACATCTTCCTGAAGAGGTGGCCATACTGAAGGTAAAGGCCCATGGAAGATTGAATTCAGAAGAAGCATGTGTAACTATTTAGCTGACCAAGCTGCCAAAGATGCTGCACGTGAACCAAGGGAAGTGGACAGAAGCGTGTCCGCTGAAGAAACCCCTATATTTACTAGGCAAACCCTACCCACAGATCTCAAGTTTTTGAGGGAACAACAAGCAGCTGCAATCCCCGAAGACAGACAGAGTTGGAAACAGAAAGGGGCAACCCTTCAGGATGGGGTGTACACCATTAGTCTCAAGTTCTGTTTACCCAAGGGTATGTACCCAGCAGTGGTCCAATGGGCCCATAGAGCAGCACACCTGTCCAATACCCTCATGAACTCTCTGATCAACAAATACTTTGAAGCACCAGGCATTATCTCTCTGACCAAAAATTACTACAAATCTTGCACCATCTGTGCCAAATGTAATCTGGGAAGAATGGTAAAAGCTCCCCCCAAACATCTGGCGAAGCCACACTATCCCTTTCAAAGGATCCAAATAGATCATATCCAAATGCCAAAAAGTGGTCGATATGAATATGCACTAGTCATAGTGGACATGTTCTCAGGATGGCCAGAAGCTTTTCCAGTCACTAATATAACAGTCAAGACTACAGCTAAGCATCTGCTCACCGAAATGGTCTGCAGATATGGAGTTCCTGAAGTAATAGAAAGTGACCAAGGCACGTCCTTCACTGCACTGTTAACCAAAGAGATCTGGGGTGCACTGGGGGTGACACATGCCCTATCACCCACAGAGTAGTGGTAAGATAGAATGCATGAATGGCACCTTAAAAGCCAGAATGCTTAAGATGGCCCAAGAAACTAACTTGTCCTGGCCAGAGAATCTCCCACTCTGTTTAGTGTGACGTACACACCAAGAGGGAAATTTGGCCTGTCCCCATATGAGATTTTGTTCGGTTCAGCTCCTAGGATAGGCGGTTATTTTCCTCAGCAATTCCAACTTCAGATGCAATGATTGACTATGTAACCGCTCTTTCTCGAGCCTTAACCAAAATCCATGCACAGGTGTTTTCTTCCATTCCAGATCCAGAGTCTGATACAGACACCCACAAATTGTTTCCTGGTGACTGGGTTCTGGTAAAGAAATTCCTGAGAAAACACACTCATGAGCCAAGATATGATGGTCTCTTCCAAGTCCTCTTAACAACGTCTAACTCAGTGAAACTGGCTGGGAAGAACACTTGAATACACACCTCTCACTGCAAGAAAGTTTCAGCTCCAGAGGAAGCAGATCCCGCTGAGTCATGAGCTTTCTGTACCTTTTTCTGCTGCTAGGCCTAATAGAGACACAACAAGTTGCTATTACTAAAGAGAATCATGTTTCCACATTTTGGTACAATTTGTCTAACACATGTAGCTACCTTTGAATTTGATTACTGTGATATTGTCAATTGTGCATTCCCACAGTCATTGTTATCAACAGTATATAAAGACATACCCCACAAGAAGGACCAATACATATGTGTGACAGATGACTTGGGGACATGACTGTAGTTCCTGGAAGGCTGCGGGTTGGAACACAGGACAAGCATGGGGTTACAAACCACAGAGTGCCCTTAACAGAATGGACAAAAATGGGAAGTCCTTACTATACAGGATGACTTTACAGAAGCCAACAGGGGCAACTCCAATGAAACTGACTTTAAACATAGAACACCCTAGTCTCGGGATGCAGGTGAATATGTAATGGGGATGTACTGGAAAGGAGGGGGATCATACAACAAACAGGGGACCTTCTATTTGCAAGACATGTATAAATCACCAGAGTGGGTAGACAGTTAACGGTTAACCCCATAAAACCACACATTAAAACTCTTAAAGACATGGTAGCCATAGCTAACCATACATTCGAAGACACCATGACAATAGAGACTGGTTTCTCTGACACTAACCTGTGGCTAGAATGGATGAGATACAATGCTAACTCTCACAATAGAACTAATTGTTATGTTTGTGGAGGAGCCCGACCACACCTGGGTACTGTTCCCCTAAATTTACCAAAGAACATAGAAACATGTTTCCTAGGTCTTTTTGCAAATTCCAAAAGTAATTGGTCAGCATGTGAGTCATGGAAAAATAAATATCCACTAACTCAAAGGGATATCAAGCCACCCGATGGTGTCACAGTATATCCAGGTAACTTCACTTGCTATGCACAGTGATTCAGCTATATTTATGGTGAAATTCCCTCCTGGTTTCCCTGCTAGTAAACCAAGCTAGATCCCTGGGAGACATTTATTGGCTGTGCGGAGACTTGCAACTTAGATCCAGACTGGAAGGCCTATGGTGGGGAGAATGTGCCCTAGCTAAAGTTATTATGCCCATACACATAATATCAGATAATCACCAAGGACCTCTTGATACACCCCACACATACTTCAGAGCAAAGAGAAGCACTCCTGTAAAGGGAAGTTTTGTTCCACACATATACATAGATGCCACAGGAGTGCCAAGGAGGGGGGGGGGATGGGTACCAAATGACAAGTCACTGTTCATCTAATGTGCAGCACCCAGAAGAGTTTGAGATACCTGTGGGACAGATGTGAGGCAGCCTATGAGGGACAATATTAGGGTTAGATATAGTAGTTGTTAATAGTCATTTTAAGGGGGGACTGTTATGGACATAATATTAGAATTAGTAAAATGCCTATTTACTCTGCATAACTATAATCAGTATTATTCAATGTTTACTCAAAATGGCTACTAGAAGCGCCCCCTCCCATCGACTAACCACCTCATGTAACAAGATGGCATTGGAATCTGGAGGAGAATCCCATTATGACAGTGGCATCACACCCTGTAGGATGGCATTAGATAAAACCACTTAACAGCTAACTGTCAGGATTACTGTTTGATCAAGCACGTAGAACTGTACAGCACGGATGACAAATAAGTAACGTATTACCGGTCCTTAGAATGGCCGGATTTAACGTACAAAGAATAGTCAAAAATACTAGCCGAGGTCAGGGAACACAGAAAGGGACACAGCGATGAGGAAAGCCAGGAGTCAGGATACCAGAATATAGAGAAGTCAATAAACAAAGCCAAAGTCAAAAACCAGGTAGAAAACTATAAACAGGAACGCGCTCTCGGACAACCACAAGGGAAACCACGACAGGGCACTGAGCAGGCTGAGAACTGGGCCTAAATACCCCTCCTTTAGTTCTGATAGGCTGTAACCGGCCTTTGACCCCAAAGTCAGTTACCAGGTTTCATTTGCATAATTGCTGCTCAGCATTAACCCTTTTGTGGATTAGGTTGCTGCTCGGCACAACTTTTCCTGTGTGGACAGTAAATGTCATTAACCACATTTCTATAAGCGGATGAATACGTGACACTAACCAATGATTGATGTATTTTCTCTGTATGCATATGATGTATATGATGTATTCTCTCTTTATAAGGGGCCTCCCGCTCCCTGAATAAACATTCCTCAAGTTTTTCATCAACCTGAAACTTGTGTCTGGTGTGAATTACTTTAGGAGCGTGCACAGATTTATATTGACAATTTGGACAGAGGCAGATATTCAAATAATCATACACTTAATTTGATCTATAACAAATTTAAAATCCCACTTATTACTGTAAATGTGCTGTGTCACTTCATATAATTTAAATCACCTTTTTGTTCAAGTCCTCATGTTTACATTACCCTTATTTTTTATCCTTATGTGGCCGAAAGGCATTATGGATCTAAAATTGATACACTGAACACTGAGACGCATATATGCATTCCAAATGAAAGAGGACATCAAATAAAGCAGAGAACCACCATCTGTGGAACACAGAGATGCATTCCAACATGGAATGAAACAGGAAATCTGCCAGCGAAAACACTGTGCGTTCAAACGATGGAATGCACCGACCGGAACAGGAAGTGAACCAGATATGGACGGCACCTGGAAAATGGCAATTAAAGTTGCCAATAAGAAGCACAACACACAGGACAGAAGGACAGCAACTGAGGAAGCCTCCTGGAGAGGCGAAACGCGTTTTGCAACATACTTCTACAATATTAAGGACTTACCAGTACCAACTGTAATGTTTTTAATTTTATTTGTAGTTTAAAAAAAGATTAACTCTTTGTGCACTATATTTGAATAAAGCACTTTTTGAACCTTCACTACCAATCTGTGACTGCAATCAAAAGAGTGGAAGCTGATCTAATATACAGAGAAGGTAGTGGGACCCTCTACATCCCACATAGCTGAAAGTCTGAGCCTAATAGTTATTGGCTGCACACTTGTGAGTGCATCTTATTTCACTTTGGCACTTTAACCCCTTAACGCCGTTATGGCGTTCTATGCCATCGCGGCTTTAAAGCCGTTGCGGCGGCATAGAACGCCGTAATGGCTTAAGCCCTCACCGTTACTTACGTCTGCCACGATCCTCTTCTGGAGGGCTGCCTGACAGCCCAGGCAACCCTCCTCCGGCAAGTATGGCCCCCTATAGCTGGCTGTAGATCTGCCAGCAGGGGGACTGTCTGAAATATCAGACAGTCCCCCTGCTGGTGGAAAGTGTAAAAAAAAAATAAAAAAAAAATTAGACATGTGTAAAAATAAATTAAAAGTATATATATATATATATATATATGCACAATATATACATATTATATATATATGTAACGTCATATGTAATGTATTTTAATATTAATATAAGTACATATATTAGTAATAAAATACACTTAGAATGACGTTACATATGTATATATATACATATATATATATATATACACACATACATACACACACACACGTA